GCTCAGAAAGGGAGAAGCAACTGCTACCAGGTTTTTGGGATGTATTTGGTTTAGGGTATACAGTTCGCGGAACGGCAGCTGTGAGCAAGGCAATGTTTCACTTCATGGCCTGAATGTCTAGCACTAAACGCAACCCCTCCGGCTAATGCTAAAACTAGGCACGCTTGGAACCAAGGTAAAAGTCAAGAAGCTCGTGCTCTGGAACCACCAGCACCCCAAAGCTGAAAAGAAGAGGCCAAGAAGCCACAACCATTGTCTTGAGGCAGAACCAGCAGATGATCGAGAGCTTCCTGAGCTAATGAGCTATGGATCCGTTGAGCCTTGTACGGTTGACCATAGTTGGCTTGGTGCTGAGAGTTTGGGCGAAGGGGACTACCTTGGACCACCCTTTTGAAAAGATCCTCTAAGGGAATGTCAGGGCCCTTTTAGGAGTATATTCAGGGAACCTCTCAGGGGTACATCCCTAGGGGGGAAAAGCAAAATGCTCACACAGGGCTCAGCTAACACACGAGGTCAACCCTCCTGCAACTACAAGCCCTGTAGGAAGAGCCACAAGCTTGCAGCACTGCGCAGCAAGCTTGACTTTTCACCTTGCGCCTGCGCAACCTGCGCAACGCAACGGCGCAAACCGCGCGAGACAAACCTTGTTGCAACGCACATACTTCCCACGTAGATACATGCACGCAGGCGCCTCGCTCCGAGTATGAACCCTAAACCCCAAACCCTAGGCCCTAAACCCTAAACCCTAAACCCTAAACCCTAAACCCTAAACCCTAAACCCTTCGTTCATCTATTACTGTTTGAGTTGTGTGTATGCTCGGGTGAAGATCTGGTCGGGGATGTATTCCTCGCGATGCGAGCACTCTCGCTTGCGATCATGTCGCTGGGCATGAGGCCGGGCAACCGCGAGGCAGTGGGAGGGTAAGGCTCCGCTGCCTTAGAACATCCTGCCTCCCCTACGTAGTCCCCCTCACCGGATTGCGCTTGTTGGTTTGGGTTCGTACCCTAAACCCTAAACCCTAAACCCTAAACCCTAAAGTTTCATGTTCTTCCGGTTTCTGGTTAGGAGGAGTAAGGGGGGGCCCCCATCAACGTTAGAGTTTCCTCCTCTGAGTGCCGTAGGGCGATCTCCTCGAGGCTGGCCCGAACCTGGCCTTGGGGAACCCTAAACCCTAAACCCTAAACCCTAAACCCTAAACCCTAAACCCTAAACCCTAAACCCTAAACCCTAAACCCTAAACCCTAAACCCTAAACCCTAAACCCTAAACCCTACTCGTAGCTTTTCCCGAGCCAACTTTCGAACCCCGCTGTGCTGTGGCTAGTCGGGTGCCAAAAAAAAAACCCTTGGCGATGCACTTTTGCAGTTCACCGCTTCTGTGCCCATGGGGTGAAACATGCCCCCTTTTTAGTGTGGCGCACTGCGTGGCAGTCATTGGGGCAGGGCGACTTCTCAACCCTAAAAAACAACCCCTAAACCCCGAGCGCGGTTTAGGTTCTGTTCGGGTTTTACAGTAGGGTTTAGGGTTTCAAGGTTTAGGGGTTTAGGGTTTAGGGGAGGCCCTCCACCCTGAATTGGTGTGGAGATCTGGCTAGCAGTTCTTGCTACTGAGTCCAGTCTAGAGCTGGAAGCCTCCTTAAGCCCTATTTAGGGAGTTTAGGGTGTAAGGTATATAAAGTACAAGTATGTCCAATGTCCAATGTCCAGGGTTTCGTCTCGTTCCTTTATTTTGTCAGGCTACTTTTTCGTCTTTCACAGGCCCAAAAGGGTCCATGTACCCATGTGGTATACACTTGGGCCTTAAAGGGGTTCCTACACAGTAGCAGCTTTCGGCCCGAAATATGTCCTATACAGGTACACGGTCCCCAAAAACTCAGACCCTAAACACTAAACCCTAAACACTAAACCCTAAACCTTAGGGAAGGGTACTGGCTGCCACGTGGCTTGTTGAAACCTTTTCTCGATGCCCAGATGACCAAGCGTTGAAAGCGAACTGGATGTTTAGCGCAAGGCTCCAACGTGCAAGGAGGGCCCCCTCACTGTCTTCACTGTTGTTAAACTGTTAAGGGACGTCGAACCTAGTTTTTGATCCTTACAACCCAATTTGGGGTCCTTACAGCTTTACTTATAACCGGGGGGGGGGGGGGGGCTTTTTGTAGGTTTCTTTTGGGTTAGTTTTAGGGGGTTGTAGTACCCCACACCACAAAGGTGCTACATCCTAAACCCTAAACCCTAAACATCAGGAGCCTTTAGGCAGATCTTTTCTTCACATATCGACATATTGACATGCTGTTTTTATCTGTATGTACCTGCATAACAGTCCTCCAAGCGTATGGCTATACACCTGTGAAGTTATCTCGTGGATCTAGTTCTCCAGTCATGTAACTATTGAGCTGTGCAACAACAGGACCTTACAATTCTATGTATGCAGGTTTGTAGACGTCTAGCTATAGTATCGTAGGAGTTGAAAAACAAACTTATGACTTGCACGTGGGTATAGGTATAGTACAAAAAAAACTTTGTACGGCTCGTGAACCAGACATCTATACAGTTACATATGTCCATACTTCTAGAACTCTAAATACTTGTAAAGCTACTTACTTGCGCAATTGTACAACTATACAGTCGTGTAACAGTAGCTATATACCCTAAGCCCTAAAGCCTCATTATACACAACACGATTTCTGTACCCGGTAGAATTCTCTGAAGGGTAGAAAACTAGGGGGATGTAAGGTACTTGCTTGGAGGTTCATGGGTAGTTCGAAGCAGGGTTAGAAGTAGGGCAACTGCAACTATGGTTGGTTCTACCCTTTATTCAGGGTACGTACAACCCTACCCATAACCACCCCTGGAACTTCAAATAAACCATCAATCCTTATAGACCTCCGAGACATTTTCCATGTAAGAGCTCCCATCTTTAAACACTTGGAAACATACCCCCCAACAGAAGTGGATCTAGCAGTAGACTTCTGACTACCCCTGAACCTTCAAATCATGCCCCCCATTCCCTAAACCCCAAACCCTAAACCTCAAACCCTAAACCCTAAACCGTAAGAACCAGCAGGTTGGTCTGGGGGGCAGTTCGGCATCCCTCAAGTTTTGAAGTTGCCGTTTTTTGTAGCAAGCCTGGCCGCTTGACTGAGTGTTTCAGGTTCTTGGGGTTTAGGGTTTAGGGTTTAGGGTTTGTTGTGATGATTACTCTGCTTGTGACTGCGATGACTACGATTATGATTATGACGGTTATGATTATGATTATTTTTCACAAGGATTGTTCTCCCTCCAGGTCATACCCCGCCAGGCAAGCTCAAGCTGAGCCAGAAGCGGTCCGAAATGGCTGCCGCTTCAACCTTGTACAAACCGCCGCTTCAGGGTTCATACCCGCGCAGAGCTGCACACCAGTACGTGAACTGTCGTTACCAACCTAAGCTGCAGAAACCAGAGTATAGAGCTGTAAGTTTAGAACTGCCATACAACTATGAACCTTTCGAAAGACAGGCTCATGTTTCGTGTACCTTTTAGAGCACATGAAATCCTAAAGAGTTTTCAAAACTTGGAATCAGCATGAGTCACCCATGAACCATATATGGCGTTTTTAAGCTTGGGAACTACCATGAATCGCGAACCATTCGACAGAAATGTGCTTGTTTCATGCACCACCATGAACGACCCACGAACCACAAAGCCGCAAGCATAGACCCCTAAACCCTAAACCCTATACCTTAAACCCTAAACCCCAAACCCCAAACCCCCAGACCCTAAACCCTAAACCCGAAACCCTGCCTGAACCTGGCTTGCCCTCCCCAAGCTGCCAGAGGCACGGGCTTCGAGCCCTGAAGCGGCAGCAAAAAAAAACTTCTTGAGCCCAACTACCCCCTTAATTAAGGACTATATATTCCTTGATTAAGGAGGAATATACCCCTAAACTAAGGAATAGAACCCTTAAGTTGTAAAGAATATATTCCTTAAGTTGTGCAGGGATCCCTGTATATGATTAAAGGTGCTGTCCCTTAATTAGGGAATGGATTCCTTGAAGGGCTTAAGGTTTAAAAGTTTAGGGTTTTTAGGGTTTTAAGTTGTTTTTTGGTTTTTAGGGTTTTTTAGGGTTTAGGGTTTTGAGGGTTTAGGGTGTAGGGATCCCTTTGTATGATGTCTTGAGCCCAATTACCCCTTGGTCAAGGAACATATTCCTTAAGTTGTGTAGTGATATCCCTATATATGATTAAAGGTGTGTCCCTTGGTTAAGGGGGCAGTGGGCTCTTTGGCAGTAAAATGGCAGTATATCGGGCTTGAAGTCACACCAGTTGGCTGCTCACGACGGCTGCTAGCAATGACACTGCACAGCTGACGAAAAGAAGAACCCTAACCCCTAAACCCTAAACCCTAAACCCTAAACCCTAAAGGGAAGCCAGGGATCGTTGATTATGACGGTTCAGCCTGAAGGGCCCATATACCTCAGAAGTATAAGCCTGGGCCCAAGAGTCCCTGTATAGGAGGTGCTTTAAGGGTTTAGGGTCTAGGGTTTTATTTAGGTACTGGACGCTGAGGGTAGGGTTTCTAGGGTTGATGTTGGTTTTGCTGGATGCCCAGTAGTCTCAATATTCCCGTGCTAAGGGGCTAGGTTGCCGCTGCTGAACCTCGGTTTGCTTGGAGGTTCATGGGTAGTTGAAAGTAGGCTTATAAGTAGGGTAACTGTCCTCATAACCTTACTCAGGGTACCAGTAACCCTACCTATAGCTCTCCAAGTAGCCCTAAACCCGAAACCCTAAACCCTAACCCTGCAAGGTAGGGGACCTATCATGATGGCCCGAACTACCCACGAACCTCCGAGTGGGCTTGGCTCAAAAGGTGTGAGGTTGAGGTTGGCTTGCCAGTAGACCACCTTGCTTGGGGTTTAGGGTTTAGGATTTAGAGTTTAAACCCTAAACCCTAAACCCTAAACCCTAAACCCTAAACCCAAATCTCAGCCTTCGTTTCTCTGCTTTGTCCGCGCCGTTTCGGAAGGACTGGCTGCAGCTCTGGCATGGCATGGCCAGCAACTACCAGGCGGGCCCTTGCTTGGGGTTTAGGGTTTAGGGTTTAGGGTTGAGGGTTTAGGGATTAGGGTTTAGGGTTTAGGGATTAGGGTTAAGGGCTTTGATGTGATTGTGGCGGTTTAGGGCTTGAGCCTGGGCGCCTGGGTTGAGAAGATGCAATCTCTCATGCTGGTGCTGGAAGCCTAACTCTGACTTCTGCTTGTTATCAGCTGCTAACATGCTTTGGAATAGCGCCATTCTCACCCCTGCACACTTTCCGTACCCTAAACCCTCAACCCTAAACCCTAAACCCTAACAGTAAACCTCCGCAGAACAAAAGCCGCAGGTTCGATCCCTAGCGGGTGCCGCTGGAGGCCTTGCGTACCTCGAGGACTGCAGGGGTAATGCGCAAGTGGCAGTACAGGAAGGTCGGAAGGTCTAGTGCGCAGCAGTTTGGGTTGGAGGTGGGGTTTAGGGTTTAAGGCCTTGCTCAGCAATGCTCCAGATCCACAACAGCCCCAAGTGAAGAGCCGAACCTCTTCACACTGCGCCCAGCGCCCATGGCACCTGTTAAGCTACAGAGCAAGGTGCGCAAATTCCAACCTCCAGAACCCTACTTGGAGGTTCATCTGTAGTTCTATGTGGGGTTGTAACTCGGGTAACGATACTTAGAACCTTTCTTCGGGTACTTCTATCGCTACTTATAACTACCCAGGAACCTTCAAGTGTAGCACTGTTGAAACCCTGTAGGAGCCTTTCTCGTCCAAACCCTGGGTTCTTTTGGTGGGCTCTGGCATGGCGGAGGAGCAATCCTCATGGCGACTCTTCGCAGCCAAGCAGGCAGGGATATGTTCAGGGCCGAGGGGCCGGGCCTATTTTGTTGCATTTGGGCTTGCGTTGAATTTGTTAAGGGTCGAGGGGCCAGGCCTATTTTGCTGCATTTGGGCTTGCGTTGAGTTTCTCAAGTGGTCGATGGGCACTGGCTTAAAGAAGTCTTCAGGCCCTCGTCGGAGGAATCTGGCGTCTCGCGCGCCTGCACGAAATTCGAAGCTCAAATGCCGCAGCACTTAACAAGACATCTTTTTGAATTTGTATATGCAGTATGTAGTTATATTGTTATACCTATACTATCTCCGCACTTATACTCTCCATTCTTATTGTCATGCCGTTGTTAAGATTATTTTGGTGTGGGGAAGGAGAACGTACTTGAAGGTTCATGGGTAGTTGTAGGAAGTAGTGTAACTACATTTACAACCTTTCTTGCTTTGGGTAGCTAGAATCTACTTATAACTGCCCAACTACTTTTGCCCTTGCCTTCCCGCCCCTCCCCTCCAAGTAGGACAACGATAATTATGACTCATAACGTTGTGTTTATGGTGCTTCGAACCCTACTTATAACTACCAAGTACACCGTCCCTAAACCCTAAACCCTAAACCCTAAACCCTAAACCCTAAACCCTACAGAAAAGGTGTTGGAGCAGCTTGACGCGGTCATTGTGGTGGGCAGTGGCCGCATCGACAGCCTCCCACTGGCATCATTGTTTTGTTGCTCACGGCTTTCTTAAGGGTTTAGGGTTTAGGGTTTCGGGTTTTAGGGTTTCGGGACTGTAGAGCTATAGGCTTCTCTAGTAGAAACAATGAGAAGTACTCGTATTCAAGGACACAGAGTGGGCCCCCATTCCCTACTCTAGGGTTTAGGCTCTCACAAGCCCGTTTAACCCGAACAAAAAACTCACCCTGTTTTCTTCCTAGGTTACTCTTGGGTCTAGTATTGGTTAGTATTGATAAAATTCGTAATACTGGGAATGATACTGAGGATTCTTTGATTCATCTCTGGGTGGGGGGGAGGGGTGTGGGTTGTCTCCAAAACGGCCCCCAGCCTTGCCGCTCCTCAAGCGACGTATCGGGCTCCCATTTCTTGAAGGTTCATGGGTACTAAGTACGCTAAATAAGGTTTCAAGCAGTTGCAATCTGGTGTGTATGTACATATAGATGTCTATATATATATATATACATAGAGAGAGAGAGAGAGATTATAGAGATATGCATATACACTTGGGGCCTAAAGCTATGAAACACCTTTTAAGGCCAAGCGGCCAAGCATATACTACAAAACATGGACCCTTGCATGGGGGGGGGGGGAGTGAGGGTTCAGGGTTTGAGGGTTTGGTGTTCAAGGTTTAGGGTTCCAGGATCGTGGCTCTCTTTCCCTCATGGGTTTCAAGGATTGTGGTTCTCTATCATGCTGTCTCGCGCCTGGGCTCGGAAGCTGAGGGCTTTGGGTTCCGGGTTCAGGGTTTAGGGTTCAGGGTTTAGGGTTCAGGGTTCAGGGTTTAGGGGGATACTGACAAACTCACAACCTCCGGCTCCTCCGCAAGAGCTCCGAGGCGGCAGGAGGCACCCTCTTCTTATTCTTGGTAGCCCAGTGGTACCCTTTACCCCTTTTTTTTGGTTATGGGTTCCCTTATAAAATAACCAACCGAAAAAAGGGCACCCTGATTATAATATGGTTACTGGGCTACCAAAGTAAACAAAGGTTCTAAATTGGGAGGTTCCCCCCCTTCTACGAACTATCCTTAACCGGGCTTCTAGTGTCCCCTGTCAGAATCCCCCTTCAGGACTCTTCGTATAAGGGGGCAGCATCCCAAGGTCTAAACCCTAAACCCTCTAAACCAGGGCTTCTTCAAGCTTTGGTAGTTTAAGGCTGGGGCCCCAGGAGACACATGAATCAAAAGACCTGAATCCTGCATCCCTCAACACCTTTAAAACCCGGGCCCAAACTCCAAATTTTACCCTAAACCCTAAGCCCTAACTCCCCCACCCCTCCTCCGGGGGAGGTTGCCCACAGTGTTGGGTTTCTTCCCGCTACTCGGAGGGCACACTGAATTTTGAAGGGGATGGCAGATATTGCTGTTGGTGAGGGGGCCCTGGTGTGCTGGAAATGGTGGAGGTGAATGAGGCCGTGATGTGAGATGCTCCGGGTGCGCATGCCCTTATGCCGGCCCGCCGGGCAGCAGTACTTTGCCGATGGGTGCAGGTGGCGGTGGTCGCTTTGTTCGGAGCAAACACGCCCTCACGCTTAACTGGGCCTCTTCGTTCGTCATCGCTTCGTGGTTGCGTGTTGTTGGCTGTTGCTGTTTGTCGTTGTGTTGTGTTGTTGTGGCTGACACTTTAAGCCTTCGCGCTGGAGGTGTCGACAATTTGTTACGCCAGGCATGCGTCTTCGGCCAGACACATGCCTCGGTCGATGCTCACTCACTCACTCACCGTAACTCCCCCGAAACAAAAAACGCAAAATCTCGAAAGCTCTTGACCCAAGGCTCGCAGCTGAGCTTGGTCGCAGAGTGCCTTGGAGAAGTTCAACTTAGAGCTTAAAAATTAGAATTTTGGGTTTAGTTTAGGATGTCTGCTGTTTGGCTTATAAATAGGTTCAGAGGTAGAAGTTGCACTCTCCATGAGCCAAGTTCCCAAATATTAGTATGCCTCGCCTCGGCTGCCATCATGAGCAAACCCTAAGCCCGACACCCCCACATAAACCCACTAAGTCCTGTGCCATGAATCCCCAGACGCAGGCTCTGCACCCAAAAAACAGCCATGTGCATCTGTGAGTACCAATCATGGGTAAAGGGGGCAGGTCAACCAGAAACCCTGGACCCGAGGCCCAGCAATGCCCCACACTCACCTTTATTCCCTTTTCCCTCCGTGAGTCACCTTGAGAACTATATATTGAGGCCGCGCATGACCGTAGGGGCATGCCGCGTATCCCCCTCCCCCTCCCTAGGTTCCCCCCGTTTTGCCTACTTTAGGTTCTTCAAGGGGGAACCCTAAACCCTAAACCCTAAACCCTAGTATAGAGGGGGTATTAGGGGAACCCATGAACCAAGAGCCCTATTTGCAGGTGAAGTGGGTAGTTCTGAATAGGTTTAGCAGGGAAACCACATACAACCTTACTTAGGGTAGTTATAACCCTGTTTATAACTGCCCCTAAGCCCTAAACCCCACACCCCACACCCCAAACCCCAAACCCTAAACCCGACCTATAACTTGCCCTGAACCTCCAAGGAACCCTAAACCCGAAACCCTAAACCCTACGTACAACTACCCCTGAACCTCCAAGGGAGCCCTAAACCCGCAACTACCCCTGAACCTCCAAGGAACCCGAACCTACTATGTGCTTAAGTACCCCAGAAGAATAAAACAATAATCCCTATATTACCCTTAACAAGGAAGATTTTTCTTGGGGAGTACCCCAGAAGAATAAATAGCATACCCTATATTACCCTTAATAAGGAAGATTTTTTCTTTGGGGTTCCTAAGCAATTCGTCGTGACGAAGTTTCCGTGCCTCGAGGCTTGTCTCAGCTCCGAGAGCTGACGTGGTTGCGGAGGTGCAAGGGCACATGCAAGGCTCCGGGACCCGAGACTCTAAACCCTAAACCCCCTAAACCCTAACCCCTAAACCCTAAACCCTAAACCCTAAACCCTAAACCCTAAACCCTTCCTGGGCTTGGGGCTCTGCTTACCGAAGGGTTGCATGTTGTGTATAGACCTACGTCTTCTTGAGGTTTCTGTTACCCAAACCTTCTTGGGGCTGTGTTTTTGTTCGGGTTGGTGGGTGACCTACGGATTAAGTGGGCATCTGCTTCTGAGCGGTAGGTGGCTTGAGCTGTTCATTAAACTGCATTGCAGAGGCTCCCTGGACTTAAGGTACCGTAGTAATGAGAGCGCGGTCCCTTCTTGCTCTTGTCGCAGCTACGTGCCAAGAAAAGACTCTTGTGCACTTTTTTGCATTGCTTGCCATATTGCAAGCTAATGCCAAACCCTTGAACCCTGAACCAGAACCTTGCTTTTTCGGAACTGGGCCTTCTTGGCTGCGTTTACAAAAAAGGCCTGACTCGGGCATAGAGAAAGCTGTAGACCCTAAACCCTAAGCCCTAAACCCTAAAATGCTGAGCAAGTCTGCAGTAGGGATAAGGGCTCAGGGCAAGCAATGTTCGCGAGGCTCCGCATCTGGACGTGGGTCTATTCCCTTTGTGCCTGGGCATGCCCCTAAACCCCAAAACTCGAATTTGCTCAGGGTTTAGGGTTTAGGGTTAGGGTTTAGGGTTTAGGGCTTAAGGTTTAGGGCTTAGGGCTTAGGGCTTAGGGTTGAATAGTCCCTTGCGGAGTGGCGCTTGGGCGTGTGCTGCGAGGGCTAGCAACAAACCGGCTCGGGATGCGACACTTGCGGAGTTGACTCTAAACCCTAAACCCTAAACGGGGCTCTCTCGATTTGTGGGCATGCAGACCAAGAAGAAATTTATTCAGGATCAAAAAGGATGTATTTGGGATCAAGAAATAGTTTATTTGGGATCAAGAAGTAGTCCCACTGTTCTTCTGACGGAGAGAGAAGGGAGGAGGCAGGAAGGCAGGATGGACGGAACCAAGGAAGGGACGGAAGGAA